CTGTATCAAATAATAAAATATAAGAGTTAAAACTATAAAAATTTTAGAGGAAACAGGGAAAAGCCTCCATTACCATGAGTTTAGAAACAATTTCTTGTATTAAACAAAGAAAATAAACACCTATGAGTCATAGTACATCAAAATTAAAAAACATGTACTTCAGAGCACACAATATACAGAATGAAAAAAATCCACGTGAGGGACAACAGAAAACATTTTCAAGGTATATATTAGATAGTTACTATAGAGAATTTACAAAGAATTCCTATAACTTGGGAGTAATTGCATAATAATATTTTTTAAAATGGCAGAGGACTTCAATGGATATTTCTTCAAAAACAACATACAAATGTTCAACAAGCAAAGGTTAAGACAATCAATATTATAAACCACCAGATAAATGTAAATCAAAACCACAGTAAAATATTGCCTCACGCACAGTGAAACGGCTATAATCAAAAACAAATAACTACCAAAAAGTGTTAACCAGGCTGTGAGGAAATTGAAATCTCTATTTACTGTTGAAGGACACTAAAATGTTGCAGTTACTGTAGAAATAACATGGTAACTTCATAGAATTAAAACAGAATTGCATTTTATTCATGAATTTCACTTCTGGGTAAGTTATATATCCAAAATAATTGAAAGCAGAATTGTGAAGAGAAATTCGTACATTTGTGTTCACAGCAGCATTATCTACAAGAGTCAAAAGGTAATAAACCAAGCGTTGTTCAGTAGATGAATGGCTAAACAAAATCTGATGCATACCCAGTGGAATATTCATGCAGCCTTGGAAAGGAAGGAAATTCTCACAAATATCTAATATAGATGGACCATGAGGACATTATTCTAAGTGAAAGAAGCAGGCCACAAATGACAAATATTTGAGATTCCACTTATATGACTATCTAAATAGGGAAAATTGCAGAAATTCAAAGTGGAATGGTGGTTGCCAAGGGCTACAGAAAGCAGGAGAAGTTATTTTGAAATGCTATGGAATTTGAGCTTTGTCAAAAAGTTGTTAAAGATCAGTTGCAAAATAATACAGATATATTTAATTCTCCTGGACTGTATGTATAATTAAAGGTGATTTAAGTGATAATGCATTTCTCTACCTTCGTTTAGTCTCAAGCCTTCTTTCCTAACATTCTGCTAACCTTTCTACCACCAGGTTTAGACCGAAGGGCCATTTGACAAGAGGAGGAAGGAGAGACAAGGAGAAAAAGGGGATTTAATCATTTGAAAGGGAAGCAAAAACCACAACTGAAATGATTGATATTTAAGGGCCATGGTGGAAAATGCTTATGGACTGGCTTATATCATCTTTGGGCATGAGTCAGAGCCTCCTGGAGTGTATATATGGGAATCAGCCACTGTATTGTACAGAACTCTTAATGAACAGCATGTTCAGAGGCTTGAAATGTGATTTCAGCTCAATAATAAAGTAGAGCAAAGGTCAAATTTAAGCCTTGTTGCTCTGTCACCGAGCAGTCAAACTCTGTGAAGAGCAAGCTGAATCCCTCACTTCCTCCATCTACCACACACCTGTTTCCTACAGGCCTTGAAGGCATGAGGTTTTATATCATTTGATCAATGACCTCCACCATCTAGTTGTCAATCTTTGGGACTCAGAGGGCTATCACACACAAAACAATTTCAAGGTCAGCTAATGATCTGTCATCTTGCAAAAGCCATAAGGGCTGTATCAGTTGGCAATTTTCTTTTCCGCATTTTAGGACACAGCTGCTTTTCCATTTGCCTGGCAGCTTGCCAAAGAAACAAGGCAGTCAGTTAACACAAAGCTGTCAATAATCCAGGGAAGCTAGACTTGATAAGGTAATCAGGAGGGGATATCACTTAATCAAGGTCTTCCAAAGAGGGAGAAGCAACTGGGATTGATAATCGGGTAACTGCCAAGGGAACTGCTTAGAAATCATTTGTATTGAGCTGATGAACGGCAAGTTCAGCCTACAGTGGACACGAGGATTTTTCATGATGGTGTTGCCATCCTTTCTGCGACTGTTAATCTTTGTGTAGTGTGCAAATGAAATGGGAATCCATTCTTCCCCTGGCATTTGGCTCCCTGAAAATCACATTTCCGGCTTGTGTAGGTCACAGATATTGATTAGATGATCCCTGGAGAAAGCAGACTCTGCTGAAACTTTGAAACAAAAAATGGACACTATAGATCACATACAGTGTCACGTATTGAGCAGATAATATCCAAGTATGTGATAATGAATAACATAGGCTTCCATTCCAACAGGGAATTTAACATCCTACAGATTTTTCTGAGTAAATAGAGTCAGGGCCATAGCTTTGTGGTAGAGCACCGGCCTCAGAATTCTAACATGAGGTTTTATATCAGCTAAAATGTCTACCATGAATTCTTCCGGATTCACTTAACTCACAGCACAATCTCAATGAGAGACCCAAGAGAACATAGAAAATAGAAATAATGCAAAGTAAGTGTATTCTGAATTACCGATACAGATGTGTTTTCAATGCTGCAGATAACTCTCTGCTGCACCTTCATCATTGCAAAATACTAAAGAGTATTTCTTTGGCTTCACAAAATAGAATCAGACAAAACAGCTCAAAACAGAGCATAAGGTGAATGATTAGGCTGGCATGATCAATTACTAAGGACATTTATCATTTCATTTATTTATTTGCTTCACTGCAAACAACGATGGACATTTGCTGTGACTAGAAGAGAGGATATAAGCTGCTACTGTCCGCTGAATTTTCTGTATTTTGTACTACCTTTTGCCTTTCTGTCATCCAAATTTGAACATATTCTTCCCGTTTTCTTGTATATCAGAAAATTGTAAAGACTCTACAATGGAAATCCAGTTTACCATTTGATGTTCACATGCTTTAAGGAAAGTTGATTAAAACTCTACCTATTTCTTACTTAGAAAGTATGATAAGAAAAAAATATTAATTGTCCTAGAATGTAAAGTATGTGGCTCACTGCACAGAATAAATGTCAATAAATGATTACTTTTAATACCCATGCCTATATTCTGCCTGCCTCATTTATTTCTGAGTTGTCTTTCAGAAAACTTCAATCTTTTCCATAATGCAAGATGACAATAAGTACTACAGCCTGCCTCCTTTGACAGATGTCAGTAATAATTCTATAACTGGATATGGCCCTGAAGAGATTCTATTAATTTATTCAAAAAGGAACAACTTATTTAATATGGAAGTGTTCTCAGCCTTGAACTATCTGAACCATGCCCCCCTCATTTATCAGAGACTTTTGTGTTTGAGACCACAGCATTCCTCCCAGCTCATCGCTGTTCTCGAAGAGTTCTACGTGGCAGAAACAAAATTCTGTGACGTGAACTTGGAAAACCAGAATGAGCTGGAAACGAATAATGAAAACGAAAGTTTGAGAAAACCCGGAGTCAAACATTACGCTTGCAAGGAGGCCAAAGGAAAGCAGTGTGCTAGACAACACAGGTCACCAAGTCAGGAGCAGCTGCTCCACCCTAAGAGAACACATGAAGAGGAGAAAGGAGGCAGTTTCAGAGGTTTTGAAAATCACTTCTCGGTCTTTTTGCTAAGATGAATTATATTAACTGTTCTTATCAGTTTGATATCTGATAGTCTCCTCTCTGAAGACAATATGTTACATGAAGTTTAGGAATAGATGACATAGGCCTTTGTTCTGTCCGGTCCATTCATTGACCTGGTATTGAAGTATTTCCAGGAAGGGTGCACTAAATTTTTTAAAATCTATTATACTGGATTATATTAGGTCATTTTTATTCAAGAACACATGTACTTTGAGCACATCCCCTGTACATCTCTCCACCCCCGCCACCCCCTCATCTTTCTGGGTTTTAATTGTATTTGTTTCTTGCATCTCTTTAAAATTCCTGAAGGCTAGAATTAATAGTGCTCATTAGCATTGTTCAGGAATAGTAGGTGCTAATACTGTCTGTGGTGTCCTGTATTTTCTTGAGTTACAGGAAATACTCTCAGGTATTTTTTTTTTCTCTTGCATTTAAACTGGTTGTCACCAAAAAGGGCTACGTAGCACAAAAAAAGCCCAGAGAGAAAGGGCCGAGGAGAACGGGGAAGGATTATTGTCTTGTGAACTGATTGTTACAGTGTTCAGTGTTATTTTGTGATGTATAAATTGTGTGTGTACGTCTATGTACATCTTCATGTGCATGTACACACATGTATGTGCTGCCGCATGTGCATGTTTGTGCACAGAGGCCAGAGGCCAACCTTGAGTAACATCCTCAATCTCATTCCACCTTAGTTTTGAGATAAGGTCTCTCACTAAATCCAGCGCTCATTGATTAGGGAGTCTGGCTGGCCAGCAAGCCCGGGGGATCTGCCTGGGTTTACCTGCCCAGCACTGGGATTACAGACACACACTGCTACATCTTGCTTTTGATGTGAGTTATGGAGATTAAACTCCATGGCAAGCACTTTACTGAGTCATCTCTTCATGCATTTTTTTGATGTACTGAGCATGAGCATAAAGTCTTTGAAATCAAGTGTGCGTTATGCTGAAGTTAATGTGCTGCCTCCTAGAATGAGGCCATAGACGTAACAAGAGGCTGCCTGCAACTTCCTCTCCAAGGCATTCATTACTAACAACTTTTCTGCTACCCATCCACTAATCTACAAAGATGTACTAAAAATTTTGTGGTGACAATAGTAAAACTTTAGAAGATACATAACAGTAGCGGTTGGGCATGACAGCACACAGCTGTAATCCCAGCACTTGAAAGAAGACAGGAGGGTCAGGAGTTCAAGACCATCCTCATCTACATAGTGTCTGAGATCAGGCTGGGTTTCATGAGACTGTCTCAAAAAAGAAGCCAAAAATAAATGAATAAGTAAATGAACAAACTAGGAGATAGGAGACTTAGTCAAACAAATGTTCGTTTTTTCCTCTTGTCTTCAGATGCAAATTATTCCTGGTGTGAAATAAACATGTATTCATAATTGAAAGCACAAAGGAAAGCCCCTACAGATTTCACTATATGAATATCAAATTCTTTACCCTGAAAAGCATTTGAAAAAGAAATGTTCCTAAACAGTTGTGAGAACAGTAGATTACATATGAGAAAGAAAAATGAAGTGGATCATTACACTTCTCCTTGAAACAAAAAGCCTTCAAAATGGATCTAAAACCTAAGGAAGATGAGTTTATGTCATAACTTAAGCAATATAAATTTATATTTCATAATCTCAAAATGGTAAAGAATTTCTATTTTTAACATCAAGGGTAAATTGCCTAAGTGACATGCTTATTTCTTTTACAACACTTCATACTGTAAAATCACATGAAAGATCAAAGAAAGTAGCGAACTGGGGAAAGCATCTATGATATATAGTCAAATACTCAATGACGTGATTATACAAAAACTGTCATGAATTAAAAAGACTAAAACCTTACATGGCAAATGACTACAAAAAAAGCTTTCTGTAGAAGAAATGTATGCATCACATTGACAGAAAGATGTTAAACCGGATTGATAATTGGTCAAGTTCTCATTAAAAAAGTCAGGTACCAACATTTGATTTTAAGTTTAACAGGAGCAAAAATGAAAACAAAGTGTTCAGCATTAGAAATTGAAAGAAGTGTCACTATCACATATTGTTGGCAGAAATGAAAATGATGCTTTTCTTCAAGGAAATTTGGAGTTCACATCAAAAGTCAAAGGCTCATATTCTTTGTTTTATCAATTCCACTTTTTAAAAAGAATTTCAAGGAGATATTAACAAGAACATACAAATAAGTGTGGAAACATATTTAAGACATAAAACATACACAACACTAAGATATTGTTCATACAATTGCCATTATGGGCTTTGTAAAAGATCTGTCAAATAGCTAATGATAGGCTGTTAAAATACCAGTTAGCTAGCAAATTAGTGAAGAAGTCTATACTGACTTAGGTAGCATTTTAATACCTTGTTATTTGTTAATATCAATGTAATTTCTAACTTAGATATATTCATATAGTTTAAGTGTGGAAGGTATGCTATCAAACATAAATATCATGGCCTAATTCTAGTGTAATTTTCATAACCATGTGACTAGAATACCTGCAGTATACAAAATGTAGGTGATTTTTAAAATTGTGTTAGTTTCTTTTCAATCTTATAAAGATATTACAGTTACTCATTTTTTCCAGTAGTGTTATGAAATGTCTGAATTGAGGAGATAACGTATATATGTTTTAACTTGCCTGACATGTGCTGAGTAGCCTCAGCTGGCTGGCTGGCCTGTGAGCCCCAGGGATCCACCTGTCTCAACCTCCCCTGCACTGGGATTACATGGGGATACACCCCCTCACTGTTCCTAATGTGTGCTCTGCAGGCTCGAACTCACGCTTGCAAGACAAGTACTTTACCAACTGAGATATCTTCCCAGCCCTATAAAGTAGATCTTAATTTCCAAAGATTCCCACACACGTGTAGCACTAGCTTCTTCCCACACACATGACACCAACTCCTTATACAGTCACACCTTTGTAGATTTTAACACCTGTCTCTCTGTCACTCAACCCCAAGAAAAAACATACCATATCCTTTTCTTTTACCCCACTGGTAACATTCCCCCATGGTTTCTAGTATCGTTTCCCTCTGAGGTTCTAGTGAACAGTTTTGCACGACATCTTTGGTTCATACAGGCAGATGTGTCTAACTGTGACTTTTTCAGACACGTTCACCAGGTACTTTGTTCATATCCCCCCTTTGCCCTCTCTTCTCCCTCTTTTCCCAGCGCACTCATCTCTCTCTTCCCAAATGACACCCTTCCTCTTTCCAGTCTTTGTTTTGTAAGTCTGGATGCATGAGAGAAAGTGTGATATTTGCCTTTCTGTGTCTTACCTTGTTTAACATGATGGTCTCCAGGTCCATCCATTTTCCTGCAAATTACTTAATTTTGTTCCATTTTATGACTACAGTGTGCACATATACAACTTTTTCTTTACTCCTATGTTGGTAGTTATCTGGGATGATTCTAGAGGTAGCCTTCATTTATCTTCTTAAATCCCTTTCAGGCTAGTCTGGTTCATAAAATCATAAAATTGTCCTGTCAAATACAGCTCCATGGACTAGACCACATAGTACAACTGCACTGTTCTTCAGAGAAAGACTTACAGGAGCTCAGGGGGCTCGAGATGGACCGATAGTTACGCTGCCTTGGTCTCCTTTCTTGAGCAGTTTATTGACTACAATTCCTGTAAAGATCAAACGGTCAGAGGGAAACCCTCTGTTCTGTTCAGTGACTTACCTGTCCTCTTTTCCCCTGTATGGTACAGCAAGCCGTGATCACTGAAAGCACCAAGTGCAAAATCTTCCCATGGACACTTGGGAATTCAGCTTGGAACTTTCTTTATTATCAAGAGAGCTTGTAGAGTTTTCCATTTATTTATGTACTACAGACACTGGGATTTTGTGTTATGTTAAAAAAAATGTGCTTAGGGGTCCTAGAGAGATGGCTCCAATGGCAAAGAGCACTGGCTGTTCTTGCGGAGGACTCAGATTCAATTCCCAGCACCCACATGGCAACTAACAACCATCTGAAACTCCAATTCCACAGGCTCCGACATCCTCTTCTGACCTCTACAAGCACTGCATGACATGGGTACACATACCTACATGTAGGCTATATACTCAGACACATAAAAAATAAAATAATAAATAAAATATTTTTAAATGTGCTTAGGCAACTCAGAATGAAACTAAGCTTCTCGGAGATACATGCTACTTGTGTCTAGATCATAGTTACCTTGATTCATGAGAATGTTTCTTTATTAAAGTAATCAAATCAAATTTGTTTCACATGATATAATTTGTTCAGTTTCCAACCACAAAATATCTATTGGCTCACTATTTAAATAGGCTGAGAATCTCCTATTTTCAAGGCATTGTGTGATTTTACATTATATACACGTATTTATATGGAAACAGATATGATACATACTAAACATATTAAGTACATTTTACACATACATGTACAACACAGTGAATGATGAGACTGATTACCTCTCAGCAATAGAAATGCACACAGTGGGCTGCAGAAGAGGAAATTATTACTTCTGACTGAGACAAACGGGAGTGTTTGCTCTATCTCCTGAAGACATCGCCTTGGGTTCTGTCATTAGAATGAATTTTAATAAGTAGAAACCCAAAAGAGACATGGATAAAGATAAAGAAAGGAAGACCGGGGGCTGGAAAGACTGTTCCTCCATTAAGAGTACTGGTTATCTTGCAGAGGACCCAGGTTCAGTTCCCAGCACCCACATGGTGCTAACAACCATCCTTAACTCCAGTTGCAGAGGATCTGACACCTTCTTCTGACCTCTGTGGACACTGTACAACATGGGTACACTTACCTACATGCAGGCATTACACTCATACATATAAAATAAAAATAATAAAATGCTTTAAAGGAAAGACAGACTGGAGGCAATATCTTTTTAGAGGAACTATTGGCAGCTGATCTCTGCTGGGTGAGGGAACATTGATTTTCTTTAAGGGAGTGATGCTAGATAGGCTGAACTGGCTCCAGTGGATGAACTCACACCAAGGGACATCTAGGCACACAAACTTCACTTAAGAGGTCCTCACATATATGATGAAATGCATTGAGTCCTATGGGCAGATTATAGGGAGTGCAGATAGGGAAGGTGATCTAAATATGATTAAGATGTATTATATGAAATCCACAAAAATTCAATAAAGAATATAT